GGAAAGAGACACAAGAGACACGCATTGCTGAGTGAGACACTGAGGGACCAGCACTGCTGGGAAAGAGACTGTGAGAGACTGTTGGCTGAGGGACGGTGGGCTAAGAGAGAGACTGAGCGTTCTTCCTGAATTTGAGTTGTAGCCTGGTGCTTCCCTAATAAACCCTGTAATCAGTGAGTTGTGTGCGGCCACTGCAGCGAATTATCGAACCCAGGAGAGAGGTGGTGGGTGCTTTGGGAGGAACAGTTGGAGAAAGGGCTGGAGGGAGGGAGCATGTCTGGCCTGGCAGGAATAGGCCTTGGGTTACTGCTGGTAATCCTGTCTTCCTCTTGTGGGATTAGAGGAGGTTGCAGTTTTTGCAGGTGCCATCGAGTCAGTCCCAACTCATAGAGACCCTATATACTACAGAATGAAACACTTCCCAGTCCTGTGCCAGCCTCACAATTCTTGCTATACCTGAGCCCATCATTGCAGCCATTGTGTCAATCCATCTCATTGAGAACCTTTCCCTTTTTCATTGACCTGCCACTTTATCAAGCATGGTATCCTTCTCCAGGGAATGGTCCCTTCTGACAACATGACCAAAGTAGGTCAAATGAAGTCTGGCTGTGCTCGCTTCCAAGGAGCATTCCAGCTGCACTTCTCCAAGACAGATTTGTTGGTTCTTCTGTCAGTCCACGGTATTTTCAGTATTCTTCTTCAACACCACAACTCAAAAGCATCAACTCTTCAGTCTTCCTTGTTCATTGTCCAGCTCTCACATGCATATAAAACAATTGAAAACACCATGCCTTAGGTTAGGTGCACTTTAGTCTTCGAAGAGACATCTTTGCTCTTCAGCTCTTTAAAGAGGACTTTTGTGGCAGATTTGCCCAATGCAATATGACTTTTGATTTCTGGACAGCTGCTTCCATAATGTCAGTTTGTTATACTGTGGTGCCTTGTGTGGTGTTGTGAAGCTGGAGGTTATGCCACCAGTATTTCAAATACAAGTAAGGTCACACATGGTGGACAGGTTTCAGGGGAACTTCCAGACTAAGACATACTCAGAACAAGGAAGGGGCCATCCACTTCTCTAAGAATCGGCCAGCAAAGACCTTATGAATAGCAGTGAAACACTGTCTGATATATTACTGGAAAACTATGAATATCCCTGAAACAATGGCTGATATAGTGCCAGAAGATCAGCTTCTCAGGTCGGAAGGCACTCAAAACATGACAGGGGAAGAGCTGCCTCTTCAGAGCTGAGCCGACCTTAATGATGTGGATGGAGTAAAGCTTTTAGGACCTCCATTTGCTGATGTGGCATGACTCAAAATGGGAAGAAACAGCTGCAAACATTCATTATTAATGGGAACATGGAATGTGCTAAGTATGGATGTAGGAAAATTTGAAGTTGTTAAAAATGAAATGGAACACATAAAGATTGACATCCTAGACATTAGTGAGCTGAAATAAGACAGGATTTGGCCATTTTGAAACAGACAACAATAAGATCTCCTATGTCAGTGTGGTATACTATATTACATAGTGTGGCTTATTTAGCCTAAGTCTTTGTAAACTCCATGGTGGAATTTGCCATTGCCACGTCTACTTCAGTGTGGTCTGCGTGACATGATCACCAGCCTGAAGCAAATGCTTAAAGAAAGCCAGCTTCCTGGAGTAAGGCAAGCTCTCCTGGGCTTTATCTGCTTTTCCTTGATGTTGCTAATAATTATTTTA